ATTGTGGGAGGGGCAGATACACCAAATACTGCTGGGAAATCTCAGTATTGTGGGAGGGGCAGATACACCAAATACTGCTGGGAAATCTCACCATTGTGGGAGGGGCAGAGACACAAATTAGAGCAGGAAATCTCACCATTGTGGGAGGGGCATCCATTTGAAAGTTGCCTGTGATAGAATAACTATAATGACCACCTTTCCAACACCATGGGTTCTGCTGGGTTTTGTCATGTCACGGGATAAGAAGAGGAAACTACATCATGGAGAGGGGAACACAGGCATCTGACACCCTCAGAAGTAGTAAATGCTGAGAAATGAGTATGAGCATGATGTCTTCTTTTTCAGGAATCCTGTAGCTGGACTTTTTTAAGAAGTTGAGAAAATTGCTTTGAGGACTTATATTACATAAAGAGATAGAATTAAATGATAAGGTTAGGATTTAGTCATAAGTTTGAGGACATTCAGGCTTCATGTACCAAATATTAACGTACCATTTTGAGCTGAATTACCTATTGCCATTGTAGCACCCTCTAGTGTAGATACTTTGTTGAGTGTAGCTAGAGGCTTGCTAGAAGCCTGGGTTTAGACAGAGGGTTATTTCAGGTTTAGATGGAGGGCTCTGCAGGTCAGTCCTCTGGTAGCTTCCCCTGCTCTAGAAGCTTGGAGATGCTTCTAGAAGTCAGTAGGTAGAGGTGAAGAAGATCTGATCTACATACTTATGCTAGTTGCCCTGAAGTCCACCAAGGAAGGACAGCCTGCATTGCCTGGAGAAGAACCAGCCCAGGGGAAGACCTGAAATCAGTTCTATCCACAGCTGCAGGGCAAGGACAGTGTGAGCCCCTCTACACCCCCAGGGCCTAGAAGGGAGAAGTCTGCTGGATGCAAGTTCTTGGGAAGTCTTCAGGGGACAGTCTAATGCTTACCCAATCCATTGTCCTGGGATCAGGAACCAAAGCCAAGTGGGCTGGTATTTTGTTCAAAAAGGGGACCTAGAGCTCCTACAAGTTGTCACTTTGCTGAAAACCCACTAAGGGGGCATCACATTTCTAAGAGGGGATTACTTTGCTAAAGACTGTCATAGTTCTGACTGGAATGCAGTCAAGCGTTTGTCATTTTGCAGTATTCTAGAGAAGGAAACTGTCCTCACTTGGTTATTCTTCAATCAAGTTGGGTACCCCATAATCCTCTTACCCTATCCAAGTTAGATTCCATAATAAATTCTAAACACCAAACCCATGGACTGTTCCTTTGTGTCTGGATACCAGTTGGGAAATGCGCATTGCCTGATGCAGGAAATAAGGGGGACCCAAAGCCAGGGGGTCTCAAGGGGGTAGCGCTTCACCATTCTCCATAAGGATATTCATGTCTCAGACTTACCATATGCCTTAGATAAGTATTCCAGTTCTTTATCATACAGGCTGTCTGTGACATCAGTGATGTTTAGGCGTCCTGTTTTTTTGCTGTGGTAAAGGATGCCGAAGGAACAATTGGGGACTTGATCTGAAAAATCTCTCCAAGTATTGGTGATCTGGATGGGCCGCACATCTGTCACCCCCTGTATGCTGGTAATCATAGTTATCAGCCATTCATAGGTGCTGCGGTCTTCTCTGGAAAATATTCCGACTTTTAAGTTGTCACAACACCTCATCTTCCGGGCACCTGAGACTGAACAAAACACTAATATATGATTTGCACACATTATATCTACATCAAATGGAAAATAATAAACAGTGCCAAGGGTACCCACTATACTCCATGTATGAGGTAAATGCCCAGGTGCCCACCCACTAGAAATCTAGACAAATCCACAAACCGGTATAATGGCATTTATGGGTCTTTCAGTGGAGATACATTGATTTACATCATTATATATTTTGTATCTCTGATGCAAGACCCATGAGTTCCTCTATACCTGTTCTGTATTTAAATGGAAAATATATTTTTTCGATAAGTTCAGTATTTAACTTTTAGGCCTCATTCACATTTCAGGTAGTGGGATTGAATGTTCCTGCTCAAATAAAAAATTTTTTTTTTTTTGTGATTTCCACGTGTCGCGCATAGGTCAGCAAATTCAAGTGAAACGGCTGCCCTATGCACGTTCATCATGCTAAGGCCCCTTTCACATGGGAGTTCCGTATGTCCAATTTTCTTCTGTCTGTTTATGGATGAAAAACGAACCCCCATGTATTTCTATGGACTTGCGGATGTAAACGGATGAACATCTTTTTACACCCGTTAATGTCCACATCCGGTAACATCCATTTTTTTGAACAGAAGAAAACCCTATTTGTCTTCTGCAAATAAAACGGAACGGATGAAAAACGAATATCAACGGACCAATAACAGATGTAAACGGATGAAAAACGGATGCAAACTGCTGAAAAACAGATGTAAACCAATGTATATGGATAAAAAAGGATGAAAAAATGAATGTAAACTCATCCGATTTTTCTTTGAAAAGGACCCTAAAGAAGCTCATGTACCAAATTTTGACACTGAGCCGGGTGCATTTCTCACTTTGCTGCGATTTTCATGTTTTGTCGCATGACAACCACAGCGAAGTCTCACCGCGTTTGGGGTCCCATTATGAATGAATGGCACCCGGACAGTCCCAAGGGAAGCCAACCTGCTCTATGGGAGAGATTTACTAACACTCAGCCATACATGGGTCGAATTCTGAAAGAATTTTTGTTAAAAAATCAGCAATTTTGCGCATTCTGCAATCAGATGGTGCCTCCATTGATTTCAAAATTCAACCAACCAACTCTTCAATGTCACCTCATGTCATAGAAAGAAATTTTGTGGCTGGGAATATTTTTTTCTATCCAGGTCACAGCTCATGTTCATTTCTTTTTCGATTACATTTCTCGCACGATTCTCCCGTCATTGATTAAAAATGTGGACAATTTTCAGAAAATTTCCAAAATGCCCAATCACTCAAATTCCATGGCTGCATGAAAATAAACTGTTGCTGCGTCCCAATAATGGTACGAAAGTCGAACAAAAATGATTGTGATTCTCTAAAGAAAATTCAGAATTCGACCAAAGTATGGCTTGAAACTGGAGCACTCTGAATCTGGTGCAGCTGTGCATGGGAGCCAATCAGCTTCTAACTTCAGGTTGTTCCAGTAGGCTTTGGCAATAAAACCTGGAAGCTGATTGGTTTCTAGATAGAGCTGCACCAGATTTTGCACTCTCACCCACAAAGAAATCCATTCAATCCAAAACAGGAGTAGAGGCACTTGTGGGTCTTGCAGTGGAGATAAATCGATGTATTTCCACTTACCAAACCACCAAACAAACTAAAAACACCAAAGACTGCAGCAATCCAATCCCCAGATACTGGATATACAAAACTAATAGTGAAAAATGGATGCGCTGTCTCTTTAAATACCAAATAAATTAAGAGTGTTGAAAATATCAAATTAATCAACTCAAATTCAATCAATTCATATTCAATCCCAGCAATTCATAACTAAGTAATGAAAAATAAATGCACTGTCTCTTTAAATAGCAAATACAATGTGATTAAAACTATCAATTTAGTGAAAAAATAAAAAGAAACAATTCATGAAGAATTCATATACATTCCAAAAAATATATGTATAAAAAGAATAAATACGTGATTCCATGCACCGTATTTAACCAGTTGCCCAAAAATACTGTTACAGGGCGGCAGGCCTGCACCAAACTCACCTACACCGTATACGTGATTTGCATTTCCAGGTAGCAGGGGCACATACCGCCCTGCCTACTCCACCATTGGCCAGTGGTGGCTACGGATGTCAATCACTGGGTCTCCGCTGGCACTCGGCGATCACCAAGTAACACTGACAGGGGAGAGATCTGTGTATAGACAACACGGGTCTCTCTCCTGCCAGCAAGGACATGCTGCTGTATTTCTCCGCCCTACCCACTCCGCCAGTGGCGGCTATGGATGTCAATCACTGGGTCTCTGCCGTCACTCGGTGATCACCAAGTAACAATGACAGGGGAGAGATCTGTGTGTAAACAACATGGGTCTCTCTCCTGCCAGCAAGGACATGGTGCTGAATTTCTCTGCACATTTCTCTGCCCTACCCGTGATAGCTTCAGCTGTCGATCACGAGTCCCAGCTGGTGATTTCCCACCGGCACCCGGTGTTCGCCAAATATCACTGACAGCCGAGAGGTCTGTATGTAAACAATATAGACCTCTCCCCTGTCAGCTCCTGCACACTGCATAGCAGAGCAATACAAAGCAATGTGCCGACACAGTAAAACACACCCAGCACACACCTTTGATCGCCCCAGATGTTAACCCCTTCCTGCCTAGTGCCAGTGCTTTTTATTAGCACTAATCACTGTATTGGTGTCATTGGGATGTTAGTGGCAGTTAGTAAGTGTCAGTTAGTGTCAGAATGCCCCGCCGCTGTCCCGCTATAAGTCGCTGATAGCCGCCATTACTAGTGAAAAAAAAAATTCCAGTATCTATACCGCCATTTGTAGACACTAAAAATGACCTGTTCAGGAAGGGGGGAAATCATCTGGAAGGCAAGAGGTTAAGATCCACCCCTTCATCTGTAAAACCCCACCCCTTCCTCTTTAGGCTCCACCTGTTCATACTATAGCTCTGTCTCAGGAGTTGGTCAAAGACTGCAGGCATAATACAGGAGATGGTCAGAGACTGCAGACATAGTACAGGAGACATCAGAGACTGCAGACATACTATGGGAGATGGTCAGAGACTGCGGACAATGCTACAGGAGATGGTCAGAGACTGCGGACATACTACAGGAGATGGTCAGAGACTGCGGACATACTACAGGAGATGGTCAGAGACTGCGGACATAGCACAGGAGATGGTCAGAGACTGCGGACATAGCACAGGAGATGGTCAGAGATAGCAGACATACTACAGGAGATGGTCAGAGACTGCGGACATAGCACAGGAGATGGTCAGAGACTGCAGACATACTACAGGAGGATGGTCAGGAGGAACTGCAGACATAGTACAGGAGATGGTCAGTGACTGCAGACATAGCTACAGGAGATGGTCAGAGACTGCAGACATACTACAGGAGGTGGTCAGAGGACTGCGGACATAGCACAGGAGATGGTCAGAGATAGCAAGACATAGCACAGGAGATGGTCAGAGATAGCAGACATACGAACAGGAGATTGGTCAGAGACTGCAGACATATACAGGAGATGGTCAGAGGTCTGCAGACTCGTTACTGACAGGAGATGGTCAGAGACTGCAGGACATACTACAGGAGATGGTTCAGAGGACTGCAGACATACTACAGGAGATGGTCAGAGGACTGCAGACATTAGTACAGGAGATGGTCATGTGGACTGCAGACATAGTACAGGAGATTGGTCAGAGACTGCGAACTTACTACGGAGATGGTCAGAGACTGCAGACATACTACAGGAGATGGTCAGAGACTGCAGACATACTACAGGAGATGGTCCCAGAGACTGCAGACATACGTACGGAGATGGTCCTGAGACTGCAGACATACTACAGGTGATGGTCAGAGATAGCAGACATACTACAAGGGAAATGGTCAGGACTGCAAACAGGATACAGGAGAAGGTGACGAGACTGTGGAACAGAGACTACAGGAGAAGGTCAATGTACTGCAGGAGATAGTCAATATACTGCAGAGCAGTAAAAAATACCTCTGTGAGGGACCCATCAAATGCCAGGTTTGTGAAATATAAAGAAAACCTCTCTGCCTTTTACTGCAGGCCCGGCCTCCAGCCAAGCGAAATCCGCCCAAGCACAGATGAACTGCCCCTACACCTGAGCACAGCCCAACCCGCCCCTACCTGACACAGCCTAAGCCATCCTCAGCTTGAGCACAGCTGAGCCCGCCCCCCCACCTGTGCACAGCCCAACCCACCCTTCACCTGAGCATAGTTAAGCATGCCCCCTGCCAAGCACACCCAAAACCCACCCACGCCTGAGCACAGCTGAGCCCGCCCCTGCCTTAGCACAGCCAAGACGCACCACCCCGCCCGTGCACAGTCCCAGCTGAGACCACCCTCCCTGCCAAAAGCCAAGTACGTGCTTCCGTGTCATCTGATATAGTTTCTGTCCTCGGGTGGGAGGACAATTGACCCCTATACTGCCCCCCCTAAAAAAAATGTCCTTGCTTGCTCTCAGCAGAATACGCCCCTGGGGGCATGCAGCCTGGAGGGTGCAGGGGAGGGAAGATTTGCTTTAGAAGGTGAAGATCCTCTTTAAGTTTATGGAAGTAAACAGGCCCATAGCAGTGAATGGGAAAGTGCTCCCTATGGGTTGTGACGGGGGGGGATGAAGTATAGGGTTTAATCACAATCACAAAAGAAAATAAAAACAGTGTATGGTTTGCTGTGGTGTCCAGTAATAAAGGGTTAATGTGTTCGCTGCGGGCGGGCGGCAGTTCTATTCCGGTTTGCCTGTTGTTAGCTGATGGGGCGTAATCCAGATGCTTGGAAGGGAATCCATGGAAAAAAAAAGTCCCTGATATTCCCATCCCCCGGAGATATCGGTTCCCAGCTAACATATTGTGTATCTAGGTGAACAATTGTTTGCTTCCTGGGGGCTGCCATGGTAGGGCGATGCAATACTTAAAGGCAAATAGGACCGGTTGCACTTTTGAAAAGTACAGTTACTCCAGAAGCTTAGTAAATGAGGGGAAGCTGCTGCATTTGAGAAGAATCCCCAAATCACATTGCCAGGTAAAGAAAAAAGAAAACGATACTTTTTGCTTTGCATGTGATTGGATGATGAATAGTCAGCAGAGATCTTTCCTCATTTTACCAAACTCTGGAGACAAACTTGCAATTTCAAAGTTCAACCAAGCTATTTGCCTTTTAGGTAAATCCCCCCAATGTGTCACTCATTGGTACAACCACAACTTGCCGGACCCGTTATCTGCCCTCTGGTAAGTCTTAGGTTCACACCATATGCGTTTTTCATCAAAACACACAAACAGGTCCATTTAACATTGCTTTTCCTATGGGACCGGTTTCACATCCTTTTTCACCCCGCTGTGTTTCCTTAGAAAAAGGGTTGGGGACTTTTTTCAATGCAAAACATTGCCATTTTGGTTCTATAGGGACTTTCAATGGAGATGCTGCAGAAAAAGCATGTAGGTACGTTTTTACTGCATTTTTTATTGCGTTGTTGCCCAACAACAAGAGAAAAACGAAATAAACACAAAAAACACATCAAAAATGCATCAAAAACACAAAACGCACTGCAGAAACACAGATCAAACGCAAAACTGCTTTGGTTTGAAACTAGCCTTAAGCCGGCCATACAACGTGTGTCCAAATTCCCAAAGATATTTTTCTTTTGCAAATCCTTTTTCATTTGAATTTCGCACCATTAGTGGGGCACACAGCGACGGACAATTTTTTGATGCGAGTCCATTTCGAATTTGAGGGTGATTCAGGACATGTTGGAAATTTTTTTTTAAAACGTATGGAAGTTCTAATCAATGATGGTGTAGGATCGTGTACTGTGAAGAAATGTAATTGAAAAAGAAATGAGCGGCGACCTGGATGAGGATGGAAGATTCTTGGCCACGATAGTTCTTTTCTGCTGACACATGGAGGTGAAACTGAAGGCTTGGTTGGTCGAATTTCTATAATCTCAACACATTGGCGCTAGAGTATGGGATGCGAATTATTCAAAAAATTCGATTCGCGGCTGATTCGGCGAAATTCATGGAATAAAAGTTGATTCCGAAGTCGGAATATATTCGCTGCAAATTCTAACTTATAAAAAGGGTGTTTCTAGGCTTATAGAGAGGCTTTATATTAGTGCCGAACACTGTACCTTTAATTTATATGCCCCTTGGAGTTATGGCTGGGGAAGAGTAATAATACTGTTCAGTCAGTATTACATGCCAGGATGGAGTGCCGTCGATCTTAGAAATCCACCGCACACTTCACTCATTTGGGGCAGTCACGGGGCCAAAACCAGAGTGTGGAGCCACAGCTGTTTGGCGGGGAGGCAGCAGCAATGGGAGGCATTAAGCACCCTATGACAATAGGAACCCCCAGGCAGTGTGAGGAGACCTGAAAGTGGCCATGCGAGTGTGGCGTGGAGGACGCAGCAATGGAGGCCGTACAGGGTCCCATGAGAGACTCTGGACCTTGGCAGCAGCTATGGGAGGCCGACAGGGACTCCTTGACACATCAGGACCTGGGTGGCAGCAGCATGAGGAGGCTGGTAGAGGCCCATGATCAGATTAGGGCTGGCAGCGGGTGAGGAGGCGGTAGGGGGGCCATGGAGAATTTTGGGGCCCCGGGGAGCAGCAAAAGGGAGGCCAACGCCCCCTATTTGGGCAAAAAGGAACCCCACCCGCAGTTTTGAGGGACCCGAAAGTGGACAGGGGAGAGTCTGGCTTTGGAAAACAGTGAATGGGGAGGCCGTACGGGGGCCCATGCACATCTGGACCTGGCAGCAGGAAAGGGGAGGCGGTACAGGGGGCCCTGACGATTTGGGGCTGGCAGCAGGGTTTTGGGAAAGGGGGGTACGGGGGCCCCTGGGAGATTACGGGCCTGGGAGGCAGGGAATGGGGAGGCCATTTTTCAACACCCTTTGCCCAAAAAGGAAAACCCCCGCAGTGTGAGGAGACCCGAAAATGGCAATGGCAGAGTGTGGCGATGGGGGACGCAAACAATGGGGAAAGGCCCTACAGGGAAACCCCTGACACAATTTTGGGGCCTGGCAGCGCATGAGGAGGCGGGGGGACAGGGGGCCAAAGGGCAGTTACGGGCCCGGCAGCAGGGCATTTAGGGGGCGGGTACGGGGGCCCCTGGCAGATTAGGGGCCTGGCGCAAACAATGGGGGGATTTTACAGCACCCCTTTTACAAAATGGAACCCACCCGCAAATTTTGAGGAGACCTGAAAGTTTTGGAAAATTTGGGGAGTGTGGCGATGGAGACAGCAGCAATTGGAAGGGGCCGGGGGTTTCAGGGAACCCCTGGGCACATCTGGGCCCGGCGCAGCTTTAGGTTTGGCGGGGGTTTCAGGGGGCCCCTGGGCAGGGTTACGGGGGCCCGGCGGGGCAGCATGGGGAAGTCGGTAAGGGGTGGGGGATGGCAGGGAAAATGGGCCTGGCCCGCAGCAATGGGAGGCCCTTTAAACTGCCAGCACCCTATGACAAAAAAAGGAAAAACCCCCGCAGTTTTGAGGAGCCTGAAAAATGGCACCCTGGGAGAGTGTGGCGAGGGAGACAAACAGCAAAGGGGGGGCCGTAAAGGGGCCCCAAAGACACACTCTGGGCCTTTGGGAGGAAAGAGGAGGCGGGGGCAGGGGCCCATGGCAGAAATTACGGGCCTGGCCCGCAGCAAAGGGGGCCCCTAATCTGCCGGGACCCTATGACAAAAAGGGAAAACCCCCAGGGGTGTGAGGAGCCTGAAAGGGGGCCCCATGTTTGGGGGTGATTAAAGGGGTTTTAGTCAGTTTTTTTTCAGGAAAAAGGTGGTTTTAAAACCAGACTAATCCCGCCTGATTCATTTTTTTCCCAAAAGTGAGGGCTCTCCACACTTTGGGGGGCATTTGTGCCTCCCCGGAGAAAAATACCTCCCCGCCGCACAAAAACGCGCTCGTTTTCCAAGTTTTGGCCCCGGGGATGACAGCCTTTAAAAGGGGAAATTCCGTAGTTGGGGCCAAAGGTCAAATTTCGTTTTTTCCCGGAGTTTAAAGGGGAATTTTTCTACCTCGGTTTGGGGGGTGCTGTCCAAGTAGGCCCAAGCCGGGTTTTTTTGAGCTTTCCCGCTCCAGGGCCACCCGATGCTGCTGCGGGTTCGGCTGGTTAGGGAGTTTTTCCCCACTGCCGGGTGGTGAAGAAAGCTTTCTCATATCACGCGGCCCGATTGGGCGCCGGTGCTGGGGGAGCTGCCCCTGCTCCTACCACCCCCCCTCCCCTGCTGCCCCTGGGGAGCGGAAAAAGCGAAGGGGCACAGGGCCCAAGTGTCTGAGGTTGGAGTTGGCGCAGAAAGGCCGAGACCAACTGCTACCTTTGGTGGTTTTTATAGGGACGTTATTTTGGCCTCCCTTCAGCAGGGTGGAAAAAGGCCCCCATTTTTGAACGGTTAGCCGGGTGGGAGGGGCCCAAAAAGGTTTGGGCCCGCCAAAAAATCATCCCTCTGTCGATGGTTTTTTTCGGCTGTCGGGTTTCGCAAACAAAACCCAGCTTTCTTTGGGCCCTTTGTTGCCAAGGAATGCGAGGGGACTCCCTGCCTACTTTTCACAGCATACTGCCACGGTGCGTCTGGGTCCTCTGTCTCCTCCTCTTACTCTACCAGATGCTCATGATCCTCCACTCTGTCCGTCTTGAGTGGAAAAAAAAACCACCCATTTCATCAATATTCTGAGCCCAATGTCCTCCTCTAACCTCCTCCTCTGCTTCCTGTCATGCCCCCACAGGGGTCATGTGGCGTTGAGATTCTGTGCGACAAGTCTAACGCACCCTGACCAGCCATAGTATAACAGCATTTGTTCCAGGTACGTGCACTGGGAATGACGCGTTCCATCCATAGTCCTGCCGACTTACGAAATAGCGTGGCCTCTTAAAGGGGCTGCTTGAGCAAGCGGCAGGGTGTCACGCATGAGCTGCCAATGACTGCATCTAAGTTACACGGGGGGAGTTAGTTACTTTATCGCTTGTAACATTTAAGGAAATCGGTGATGGCCTTATC